ACGGGAACTTCGGCTCTTCCGTCTCCTTGTCGCTTCGCCGTCCTTGCTTTCTCTCGACATCCTTCTGAGCCCTCCCTTTGCTCTCCGCCCCTCTCCCCCTCCTCTCTTCCCTTCCTCATCCACCGGCTTCACGAATTACCCGAGTCCCGGGACGCTAATCTCACATGTAGGACGACGAGCGAGGCAAGAAGAAAGGGATTTGAACGTCTTTGGGCCTGGGGGACGCCATCTCGTCTGCAGTCAAAGGTTACCGCTGCGGTATACGTGTATATTTTGCGTTTGAGCACACACGCGAAAGTACATAGGGTGACTCGTAACAGCGTGGCTGCAGTCAGAAATAATTCCGCACTGCGATAATTCTTGCTGCTAATTAATTTCACGTCGGATATTTAATTAATTTGGTCATGTAATTAAAGTCTCATTAGCGTCGTGAAATTTTTTTTTTTTATTTAAATTATCTGTTTCATATCTTAACACCGCTGTAGCTATTTGACACGTAATTAATTTATTATCAAGTTTATCTTCGCAAACATCACCTGCAATTTATACAAAATTTTTTCTTCTGCAAAGCTGAATACGTCGAAATCTTTTAAGCTTCGATCAGCGCAGTTTTAAAGCCACTCTCGTTATTTTCTAATGTCTGATATTCAGGTCAAGTATTCCGATCCTTGAACCATCTTCTATACATGTCGTATGTGTAATTTCGTGGCGGACGGGTCCGGAAGCGCGAATCGAGGTAGCGCAGATATCCTGACGCGCTTTTAAGAGTGCCTGTTATCAAAGCTTTGCATACCCGATTATTCGGTCCTTCTTGTTCCCGTGTAAACTACCGGGCGGAGAAAACGCGCGGTGCTCTCCGATTGACTAACACCCTCGTGGAAGGCAGCGCTTATCGGCTGCTCGGCTTCGCGCACAGTAGACACAGCCACCCCCTGTCAGTCAGTTAGGGAAATATCTCGCGCTGCGTGACGACACGCGCGCTCGCTTCTGCGGCCGACATCTGCACGAAAGCAGGTGATTGATCACTGACATTCTGTACCGTTATTATTGAAAGTGTCATGTAGGTAATCATATGGTTCCGATTCGAGATAAGCCTTTTTTACTTTAAATTATTTTTTTCGCAACATTTTAATTCAAACGCCGCTTCTTTAAATATCGAAAAAATTTGCAGAAAAATTTTCAAAGCTAAATTCTATTTCGAAGATTCGTGGTTTAATAAATGAAACTTCTCTCTCTAAATCGATTTAGGAAATTTATACAAATCTGTAATCAAAATAATTAAGTTTCAATCAATGAACGATACCACAAGTAAACTTTGCAGAATGGATATAGTGCCGAAATTAAAACAACATGCTTGTTTTAGATGGGATCAGGGAATTTTCAAGTTATGTCAGATCGGGATTCTGTTCTCAAGTTGTATACGAACTCATCTTCAGGTGCCTGAAATTTATTGGTTTATGTCGAACTTTACTGAGTTTCTGATTACTTGTGAATATCCGATTAGTTTCGAGCGCCAGGAAATAAATGGATTACCGCAAGACATGGAAAATGAGGGCTTTTCGATTTGAGCTTATCCGTCACTTAAATAAGTTCTTGAAGTGATATTTATATTCAAAATTTTATGCCGTATATAACACGTTGTAAGTGTCCAATGTTGGCTCTTGCTTTTTCTCAAAAATATAATCATTTTTAATTTTCTAGATATTTTCTACATATCATGTACGAGGGATGTTCACGTTAAAACCGGAATTTTTTTCAATTACTGCGTACTGTTAAATTCTAGTTTTGACATATTATTCTTTACAACACGTTTTCTCTCTCTCTGTATATTATATTTTTATCGATATAAGTAGATACACATGTTACAATTTTAATTCTGCTCTAATTTGCAATTATTTATAATGATTTTAAACAAATATCATTGATTGCTTCGATACATGAATAATTTGAAGATACATCTCACTGTATGCAAGAACATCTCAATTTCTCTAGAGAACTTTTGGTTGGTCTGCAAACTTGTGAGCACCAGGATAGAAATTTTAGTTAATGTATCTTACAAGAATAACTTTTGACAATTTTCACGCTGTATTGCGCTGAGATCTTTATACATACGAGTGACAAAGTATACGTGCAACAGAAACGCACTACGGTTGTACTCTAAGTAAATCGTTTCTCCGAAACTTTCCGAAAACTCGTGTCACGAACTTACGAGCACCAGCTCGTGAACTTTGCTGAAGAGTTTTTACATCAAGAACTCTCCGGATTTCGTCGCGGCCTAGCGCACTTTTCAGGCGGACGCTTCAATCCCTCTCAAAGGCTCTTACCGAAAATCCATGAAACGGTACCTCATAAGCTGTCTTACGCACATTTATACGCATATTTATACATTGCCATTTATACGCACCGTAAAAATCTGACTGCGCGAACTTTACGAACTTTATAAAAGTTCTTCGCAAATAATTTACTTTGCGAATTCATTTCGTACAAGTATTAACATGCCTTGAACAATTAACTTTTATTTGTTTTATTTAGCAATCAATTTGTTGCATATTTGCATAAAATTAATTATTTTTACCGAATACTCAATTATATTATTTTTTGTATATTTTCGGAACGGGAACAACTTTAACACGGTCAAATCTCTAAGTGAGAAAAAGTTTTCGATGGCATATATACTGTACATCAATATTTCGTAGAGTACTTTGATATGCATAAAAAAAAAATTGCATGTACGGCACAGTATGCGTTATCAAACGTTAAAGATAATCAGATTACTCGTCGTTTTTTATGTGCAAGTGGAATATTCCAAAAGTAATATCAACGATCGCTATCGAGCAGCTATCTGGATTCCGAGTGTTCGCGATTTCGCCATCGTTCGCAAAACTCCCCGTACGTTTCGGGATAAATTTGATGGCAGCAGACTGGGGGGAACGTACATCGTAAACCCCAACGATTGATAAGCGACCAAAGGATTTCGGCCCTCCTCAATTTTCAAACCTGTCGGAGCTTATTCCACTTTAGTCCCTTTTACCGTTCCCGCACACTCCGACGCTGCCGCCGTTACTGAAATTCGTTCTCTTCTGCGCCCGTAGTAATTTCATTTCGTTCACACCCGGTTTTCCGCGGGCGGCTGCTTGCTTGATTCGTACGTATTACTCCCTGGGCCGTGGTCGACAGAATTGTTTTTAGGAAATTGACTTTTCCACCCGACAGAAGGAACAATGCCCCGCGGAGGAAAATCCAGTGACGTTCCACTTAATGGCGCTCCCCCTCGCGCGCCAGTTTCCATTCCGAAAGGGATTTCAACAGTTGACACGCTTCGCCCTGCCAGTGAGATTTAATCTTGGGCAGAGAGAAAAATGTCGTTTTACGCGAAATCGCTCCCCAATAATCTATCATCTCATTTAAATGTATTCTTTATCTGTCTGGTGACTTAACAAGGGAACAGAAATGTGATTTCCTCTTCCGCGTTTTTACGTTTTCTTCGGAATAGGTTAAAATAAAAATCTATTTGGATTTCTCGCAGGTTTAGAGAAGAAAATTGTGGTTCTAATTAATTATCTCGCAATTACGAGATATATTAAAAAATATTACAAATTAGATTTCTTTTTTTTTTCTTTTTTTTAATTTAATTTTTTTTAAATTGTTATTCATAATTTAATCTTCGCTTATAACGTAAAACTAGAAACGATGCAGTCTTCTCTCTGAATTTTCTGCAAAACGTAAGTGGATTACGTATTGCTGTAGGTATCGCTATGTGGGATGTATCTCGGTCAAAACTACGCGTTTTGGACTACAATAATATTCATGTGACACACATGTCAACATGTCAACATTAGAATCGCGCCCGGTGCCTGTAAATGCTTAGTTTTGAGGTGTGTTATATTCACGGCCGATAATGTGCAGAGTTTACAAACCGAGCTAAAATCAACTGATTATCGTCGACGCATTTCTCGATGGATTTGATATCTATTCGCCAGATTTCCTGCATGCTCAGTTCGACGGGGATATGTTGTGTCGTTATCACCGCTGTTATTGATTATAAGCGTGTCGATTTTGAACATCACGCAGCATAATAATGACGTTTTAATGATACGAAATGCACGCAAAATGTGTACCAAATGTGTACTAATCAATGTCCAATGACGCTTGAGGTACTGTTATTCGACTGATGCGTTTTATTTATTTTTCTTTTTTTTTTTGCAATATACTCCGTCGATTTTCATGTAAATCATTTAACGTAAAAAATCTCTTTGCCAAAAAAAAAATAAAGTTTCAACGAGGACGATACGTCGATACGTGCCATCGTTTTGTGCAAATAGAGATCACGTAGCGCATATAAATTCTGCACTGCAAAGATACTAGAAATTTGAATGCAGCGTACAGTTTACAGCGAAATGTTCAACTTGGAAAAGCTTTCGCTTTTTTTTTACTGGATTTTTTATTTTACATGATGAATAATAAAAATTATAATCTATTTTCAGGTGCATAGTTTTAATTTTAGATTATTATGGGAAAACTCCAGTAAAATCTTAAGGCGATAACTTTACCGTATTAAACATTATTTCTCAACTTTTTTTTTTTTTTGCAAAAAGGTACTATAATATTACAGAAAATATTTCTTTCATATTCGCAGTACGTTGCGCAGCTTGTGACACTTTTGTTCAAGATGTAGTTTAATAAAGTAGAATAGCTTCTAACATGCAAAATATTTGAAAAGCTGAAATATTAAAAGAAAACTGATGCGATATAAAAATTACTTCAAACAGATATTTTTTATTTATTTTTCAATATATTATACAAGTATCCCAAGCATTTCTACATGCGGATCGTATATTTTGGTATAATATGGAAATGATTCCGTTACACTTTCACTCGTTGTCACAAACTACGCGGCATGATAGTTAACATTCCAGAAGCGACACTCGCCCAATTGTCAGAATGACGGGAAATAGTAACGTCCTTTCTCTCTAACATGTGTTGCAGTAACCTCAGAAAACGGAAGCGGCACGCACACGATGACATTTGTGACAATACTCTGCCTGGGCATGCTCCATCTGCTTCTGAGATAGTCACGGCACGCCTGAGATCACGAGAAGGGAGCTCACGGGCGTCGCATGATAAATAGCACACTAGTCAACAGGAGAAGGGGCTGGAGAAGGAGACGATGGAACGAGAATTTAAGGATCGCGTATGGAGGGCGCAGAAACAAATATTGTTAAACCGATATGATTACCTAAGTATTTTTCTTTTACTTTTTTTTTCTCTTTCTCTCTTTCTCTCTATTGTATAGTGCATTGATTTACGTTTTTTGGGACGGGATTAGGGATCGTGAATTCTGCATGTTTCCCGTTTTTGTCATGACTGTTGACAGTAGCGCGCTGTGTTAACCTTCGACTGGTGAAACTGTTCTCGACCTGAACACTGCCATTGTAATTAGAATCAAAAAGAAACGCGACGTTCAACATTTGATATCTTGCGCGATCGCATGAGATCGCAAATTGTTACCGTTATATATTTTACAACCGCGTCTTTTATATAGCCTGTTACTTTGTACAAAAAAAAAACGCGCCCGCGCGCGTACGTGATTGTTTCTTGTTTATCTTTTCGGTCGTGTATATATATATATGTATATATACAATATATATATATATGTATAGACAGAAAAGAAAGGACGGCAAACGCGCATTGCCAGTCAAGGGTTAACGTGGATCCCGGATTGGACCCTGACCGGTGGAGAAATAGATAATCGGATAAAGGATCGCCGCAGCTAAATCCGTCGGGAAACTCGCTGCGATGCGTTTTACGCGGCGCGGGGAATCGAAAACAAGGGAAGCGTAGCCAATTAGTCGCGTTCGATTACTGCCATGGCGCTCAATTTGACGTTCGCGATGAATAATGAACAAAAGGGGTTCATCCAAGGATATAGAACGACAGCGAGAAAGAAGGATAGGTTTCCGACGTCGATTGCACGTATACATACGTCTGTAGGTGCTTGTATAACTCGCCTCCGAGGGATTTGCGATCTTTGTCGCGAGAGAGAAAGAATGAGAGAAAGAGAGTATATGTGTGTGAAAGAGAAAGAAAGAAAAGAGCAGCGAGCGAGAAAGAGGGTGAGAGACGTTCTCTTTCGCTACACCGCTGACAAGAAGAGATCCGAACCAGCGTGATCGCACAAAGGAAGAGGATAAAAGCGGTGCGAAAAGTTTTCGCATACCGGGAGAGAGGAAATCGCCGCCGAACTCTCGTTTCGCGAAATCGTATCTCTCTCTCTCTCTCTCTTTCTCTCTCGTACTCTCTCCCGGTAACAACGCACTCGACGTGCACTCGAATATCTCTCCAATACACTCGCCAAAGACGTGCGATTCGAGTCCATTTGTCCATTGTCCAAACGCTCCCGGGCTCGCTTGTGTAGGCGGATCAATGTCGCGAGTTTCGAAGCGGAGGAGTTCGGATCGCGCGCGGTATCGGATCGTACCTTTTTTATTTTTCCTTTTTTTTTCTTTTTTTTCTAAGTTCTCGTTTTTCGCGTATCACGTGCGAGAGAGCGACGTGGTTGCTGCGCTGCTGCTATTGCTGCCGCTGTTGCTGCCGCTGTTGTGGACAAATGCGGTCATAGATAAGCAAGGTATGTACTTACGTCGATTATTATTGATTAATCGTGCGCGATTCGCTCTAACAAATTTATTGCCCAATTATTTTTTTAATGACGTACAAGAGAAGATAAAATTCGATCTAGCTGTTCTTTCCTCTGTATTTCGTCCTTTCTCTTTTAACGCGGTATGTACATTTGTGATATATACGTTTTTACCTATTTCGCTGCTTTATCACCCCTCGTAGACTTTGAAATGTAACGTTTAAGCTGGACGACACATTTTACCGATCTCCGACGTCCTCGCGCTGTCGAGCTCCAGGACGAGTGTCAAAGCTTTCTGCAGGTATACGACGTCGTTGGGCGTGTAATCTGTGGAAGGGCTCGTTTCGAGAATCGATTTATCGAAGGAGATAGAGGGGAGACCGACGCGTTGGAAAGAACGGCACGAACGTTGCGTTTTTCATTCTCCATCCACCTCCGCTTTATTAAACGGACGATAAACTCCGTGGACGATCCCGCGCGTCTATAAACCGGCCGCACGTTACAGCTTGTTTCTTCATCCTGAACACAGAAATCGTTTGTATTAACTCCCATCTCCCCTCCTCTCTCAAACAGAATGCGTCTCTTCTTCTCTTTCCTTCGCTTTCGCCCCCGACGCGCATATGATAGCATTTGGCACGCTCGCGACCGCTCACAAATCTCTTCGCGAAGTAATGCGTATCGGCGTGGAACTAGGCGGAAGGCACCATGCGAACCGCGACCCTTATTTTTCATACAAGCAGATTCGCCGATTCCCCGACTGGTGTAGTAAAATCGCGCCAAATCGCCGAAATCGGTTTCGAGCGTGCTAATATTCCGAGCGATGCTCGAAACGAAGATTGATTCTCAATAATCTCAGACGAACTTGAAAGTCGTAGGATTAATTTGTAGCGATAATCACGAATAGTTGAGTTTTTAATTTAAAAATAGAGATATACAATGGATGCATTTTTATAATAATTTTATTAACATTGTTTTTGAGACGAGGAAGTTATTTTGTTTTTTAATAAGTTATTTTAATTTATGGAGCTAAAAGCGTGCAGAATTATTATTTTGTGAACGAACGTGTGAATTACACTACTGGGTAATTTCGCGAAAGTTTCATTTGCGAGGATCGGATGAAATGTGGCGGAGACAGGACGATTCTCTTGAGAGCAGTTAATCTTTGCGCCTAAAGTATGAAGCTCGTTTTTGTAAATGGGTAAGTAAGATAAAAGCTCGAGTTATTACTGATTATTTACCGATAAGTTTACTATTATTCCCGAGAAAGTTAGAACATCCCCGAAGCGACGTCAAAACTTATCTCAACATGATGTAACATATGTATACTAGAAATAGGATAAATAGGAATATTTCGTTAAGCCAGATTTTAATTTTTTTAGATTTAAGATATTCTATAAATTATTATTATTTTTGGGCATTATACTTTTGTTAATGTAAATACTTATTTTTAACAGATATAATAAACTTGCATGAACACAAATCTCATCGGTTTTCTCTTTGACAAGAGAAAAATATCTCGCAGATGCAAATGTTTCTCCTCTCCGGCATATTATTAGCATTTTATTAATACAAATTTGCGATAATTTTTTTTCTCGAGCTATATGTTTAAAACATGAAAAAATAAATATTTTGCAGAGTTTGCAAATTTTTTCATTACGTAAATTGGTACAAACTTTAGCTCAAAGAAGTTTGTAAAATTTGGCAAAAACGGAATAATTCTCTTGCAGAAACCAACATTTGCGTTTTAAGTAAAGCTCATTTATGTAAACACGAAACTGCGATAAAATCTGATTCGTTGCAGGTGGTTTGCAGACATTTCCAAAATTTTCATAACATTGTTTTTTCCAGAAAAAATTTAAATTATTTGTTTGGGTGAAAATGTGAAAAATATTATGTACGCTCGCATTTTGGTTCTCTATACAAATTCCCTTAATTGTAAGACCTTTAAACTTTTATCGTTTTTCGATATTCTCCACTTTTAATTACTTAAATATGTTTATTTTTAGAAAGCGTAACTGTTCTTTTAACAACTCTCTGCAGCGTTATCTCCGAAGCGTTGTGAAAACAGTATCTCGCTAATGCAGACGTTTTCATTCCCCCTGCAATTGCGCTCGCAATCAGATCGAAGAATTTCCACGAACGCGCATAAATATATCCGTCTGGCAGTATTCGCCCGTCCGATCTCTCGGCGCGCGTGCGCGCGCGCGCGCGCGACTCCGAAAATTCATTGCCCGAGCACTGGAGTCTATAGACGGAGCCCACAATTAACCCGAATCGAGATCTCTACGTTCTTCCTCTATACAGCCCAGACTACGGGCGAAGTCTTACAAGGAACACGGCGCCCGTGCAAGCACGAAGTTTGCACGAGGAATACCGCGCGCAGGCAAGCAGATACAGCTCGAGCTCCTCCGTGAGATAGCATGCACCGCAACGGGAAGCGCGTTTACGGTGTTTGTGCATCCCCGTACGTAGCCGTGGCGCGCACGTGTGCGGGATATTGCCGAGTACAGTGATGCGGTGTGCGGCGTCCTCTCTCTCTCTTTCTCTCTCTCTCTCTCTCTCTTTCTCTCTCTCGTGTGCGTGTAACGTCTGTACACCTCATCGCGGACAGTTCCTTCCCCACACAGACGCGACAAAGGAAACGACGTTTCAGCTAACTGAAACGTCGTCGCCGTAACAATCACCATCGTCGGCTAGACTATTTCACCCCCGCTTCTCCCACGTTTTCACCGTTCTCGTCTCGCATTTCGCTCCGCTTCTCTGTTTGTGTCCCACCCACCCCTCCTTCTCCCGTGTCGTCTCTGTCTGTATCTGTTGAGTCGAATGTTGAGAGCCGAACTGCGGTAGGAGCGGCGAACCCTGCGCGGCACCGCGCGCGACTGCTGCGGTGCTCGCGATGCTATTCGCCGGCATAGTGCGACTCGGTTGCCGTGGTTGATTCAAAATAAACTTTGTTTCACCACTCACCGGTACTACCCACCTACCTGGGCTTGCTGGCTGGCTGGCTGGTTGGCTTCGTCCGATTACTGCGTACGTGATCACGCTCGTTGCTGACTAAGGCAACTTCTCCCTCGCTTTGCGCGCCTGGAAGCAACGCGACTACTGTAACTCGATCCACCCCCCCCCCCTCTTCCCCCGCTCGTTATTAATGCTTCGATAGTGCTCGGCGCAGTGCTTCGTTCCCAAATTAGATGTACACGTTTACGCCGCCGGGTACTTCCGCGGGTCGTCGTATTGATACGTCTGAGCAGCGTCAATATGCGCTCGTTGCTGTGTGAGGCTACGACGAATCGATTGGGAGCGCATTTCATTCAAGTGATCGAGCCAATGTTGTATACGCTTTCGGACGCTGTCGTTGTCTAAATTCTCCCTGGAAGCTTCGATATTCAATCGGCGCTTTTCACCCACACGCAGAAACTTGTAATCTTAATATGAAACGGGAAGCACGTGTAATCTTTTCATCGAGGCCCAATTAGCAGCGACAGACGAATTCCATCGATTTTATATACGCGACTCAATCGTGTAATGGTATTTTATATCGACTTATATTAACTCCGGCAACATGATAACGTACGAGTAAAGAGGAAATCGAATGCCCGTGGCAGAAATAAAGACCAGAAGCAGATCCTATGTTTCTCATGAATAATCTTTCACTGATACCACAAAGCATCTTTTCTCATCGATACGTATTCATAAGGTAGAACCGTACAAGCGTATAGAAAATCATAATTTCCAATTCATATACGCATAATGCAATTTCACATCATATTGCGAGAAAAAAAAACAAATAAATTTCATTACATTTGGAAGGATTTATTTTCGCAGATGGTGAGTGCTTTTTTGTTGATATATTTTATAGATTGTAGTATTTGCTTCAGACCTCTTTTTCATTGAAGCGACTGCTTTGACTTTGAACACAGACAAACACTCTAATATTTTTTTATGCACATTTTTCACGGTATTTTCTTTGACAAATAAAAGCATTTATACTCCGCTTTATTCGTAGGTCTTACTGTTGCCTCGGCTTCAAGGTACATATACGTATGTATATTTTCTGAACTATCTCGTTTTGCAACGTTTTTCTTCTCACTTTTTGGAGAAATTATAAAAACAAGATATATTTTTCCATTTTAAAGAATTTTAATAAACTTTATTATTAAGAATGAAATAATATCCGTTTTTATTAATATTTTGAAGCTTTATTAGTTGATTATTTGCGTCACATTATAAAATCGTAAGATATTAAGGAAACAAAGAGGATTAAAAAATTTTCCTATTTTCATGAAACAAGAGTAAAAAGAGATGCATTTCCAACAACAATCGATATTAATACGTATAACACGCTTGTTTAAGAGGACAAATTGCTTTCGTTTATCGAAAATCCATTTTTCAAAACTTTTCTGATCTCCTCGCAATAGCCGGGAAACAATTTATAAGCCGCTTTCGTGCGCTTTGGCGGACATTTTCGCACAGCCACGGGTGACAATACGGGTGTCTATTCAACGGTAGGGGCGCGCATTATCTTTGATAAAATACGGTATTAGGTATAACAGGAACGGGCCGGAATTGGGTCGCGCGCGCGATCTTCAGCGTTGGTACCGATTTACTAAGGCAAAGTAATGGAGCCCGGGTGCTTTATGCCCTCTTTACGCCGGTCGATCCGCACCAGAAACGATCCTGCAGATACTTCTCGCGCAACGATCTTCCCGCCAACGCATTCTTACCGCGGATTGATACTACGGAGAGCAAATGTTTGCTCGCGATATCTACAGGAGAAGAAGTCGACCCGTGAAGCCTTCCCGCTGCTGTGAAACGCTGTACTTCGTACGATTTAATGAGAAACCCCATTCGCAGCTACGGAGAGCCGTGTTCGTGCGCTACGCTACCTCTCATTTTAACTAGGTGAGTCAATCCGATTTCGAGATTCACTCGAGGAATTTGCTTTGGACAAACGTAATGTGCAATCAAACGCGTTGCTGCGTAAAAGGAGAAGGAAATGAGAAACATCGAAAAACGGGAATACTGATTAGATTTGTTCTTTTACGATGCTAATTAACAAGAGACTTGGAAATTTCGTAACTGTGTTCTCGTTTATTACAATTGTGCTTAAACATCGTATCGAGATATTGCTGACGAGGGGAGTATTTGACAGTGTATTTAATGTTAAGAACTACGCGAGGGAGTCTCTCGGTAATGTATGATATCTTACATAGAATTTGAATAGGGGCTTAATGCAATGATATGCGAGAATGGCTCTTGGGTTGTTGGTACAATAGACTATACTTACCACGGACAGTACACGTGAAAGCTATTGTCATTAAATGCGCACTGCTTATCCCTTTGCTTATGAAATTTTCCGTTTAAACGTGCACGGTGCTCGAATTATATCAATTATGTTAATTATATTTATCAATTCTGAATTTTTGCAGAATATAAAAATACTTGAAAATCTGTACAAAAAATATTTAACGAAACTGTTCTGTTTATAAATTAAGTTAATTATTTCGTCATTTTTAGAAGACATAATTTACTTCTTTCGATGAAAAAGAGAATCAAGACGACATGTTTCTTAAGGACACCCTATAGAGGCTGACCTACATGTCGTTCTCCTCGTAACGATGCCATTAACGTGTCTCGTAAACTGATCCTTACGTCACCTGTCGTGTGTTAATTGTCACGTTTACGAATAATTTAACCCAACCGCGCCATTATAGCAAAATGGAGTGGATTTAATGGTGCTTAAATTGATTTTTCGCAGCGTGATATTTCAGTGTTTTGTAATTCTTATTTCTTTTTACTTTACTAATAATAATTTTTACTTTCGTTCACAATAAAGGATACAAGCGCAGACGTAAAGATGGATATGACATTTACACGATTTTAGTGCGATTCTATTTTCTAAGAATTGCTGCTAAGTTTCTCTCATTATCCCCATAGTTTCAAAAACTCTTTACTCGATTATCTAAGAACTAAACGTGCCGACGCTCGCACGGCCAAAAGCTCGAACTCGAAATGAGACTATCACACGATCTTCCTCTTTCTTGCCGTTAAATGATACGAGCGTAAGTGGCGCTCAATGAAAATTGCCTCGTCCCGACATTATCGCTGATATCGGCGAATTGATTCGTCCCGAAATTATCTCCCCGAACTCGCTCGCACGTCGCGGCTTAAAGCACCGGTGGTGCTCTCGGATCCGCAGTTGGAAAGGTTTTCTGTTCTTTTCGGGATCGTAAATCGGAGCGCGCGCGTTTCAGCGTGGCCTCGCACCAAGGGGCACGTAGCCACGTTTCGATAACGAAATAGCGAAGTCGAACGAGCTGGCAGCTGCAGGACGGCGACCCGACACGCTCGAGCTAAGTACCTGCCTATGGAAATTTAACACGGCACTTTGCCGGCGTGTTACATTCGTAATTCATCGAGCCGCCGCGTGTTACAGACAGCTTCGACATACGCGCCGTGTAATGGAATGAATTGATATTGATTGCAAAACAGGCGATCTTCGAGGCGGGGATTCCGGATCCTAGTTTCCTATCGCAACTCTGATATATGAAACATCGCAGATCGCAGGTGCATCCGATAAACTTGCCATTGTTACTCGCTT